CTATCTTGAACCTCAACCCCTATTTGACCTTATTTATAAAGGTTGGAGGACATCTTAGATACGTCTCACTGGAAACAGAGGTAAAAAATCCAGTGATCCTCTCAAATCAACACCATGTAACCAAGCTACTAGCGAGCCATTACCATGCAAAGCTAATACAGCAAGGAAGGAAGTTCACAGAGCGAGCCATAAGGCAAGCTGGACTCTGGATTGTAGCTGGTAAAAGACTAATCTCATCTATTATCTACCATTGTGTAACATGCTGAAAACTCAGAGGGAATTTAGAAACCGAGAAAATGGCAGACCTTCCACCAGAGAGGCTTGACTATTCACCACCCTTTTCTTACGTGGGCCTGGATGTATTTGGCCCATGGTCAGTCATCACGCAATGCACATGAGGTGGCGCACCGCAAAGTAAAAGGTGGGCCATTCTGTTCACATGCATGACCACTAGAGGTGCATACATTGAAGTCATTGAATCTATGGATGCCACCAGCTGTATAAATGCATTACACAGATTTTTTGTTATCAGAGGCCCTGCAAAGCAACTCCAGTCAGGGGAACCAACTTTGTCGCTGGCAGCGTAGAACTAAACATGGCACAACCTGGGGCGGTGTCTGGGAGAGGATGTTCAGTGTGACATGCAGAATACTGGACTCTATGTTTCTGCAGAACAAACACACTCGTCTGACACATGAAGTACTGTGTACCACAGTGGCCGAGGTATCATCCATAATCAATGCAAGGCCGCTGGTCCCGATCTCATCAGACCCTTCATTGCCTTTCCTGCTTTGCCCTGCAATGCTTTTAACTCAAAAGTCACACTCGCCTTCTCCACCAGGAGACTTCACTGGAAAGGACCTGCTAAAGACTCAGTGGAAGCAAGTGCAGGCACTTGCTGATGAACTCTGGAACTGCTGGAGGAATGAATATCTCAGCACTCTCCAGTCGAGGCGCAAGTGGCACAGAACACACCGCAACCTGCAACCACACAACATCGCGCTACTGAAACGGAGCCAAGCACCCAGGAATGAATGGACAATGGCCATGGTCACATCCACCTTTCCAGGTAGTGACGGAAGGGTTTGGAAGGTCGAAGTGAAGACATCATCTCAGGGCGTCTCGAAAACCTACCTGCGTCCCATCTCTGATGTTATTTTTCTCTTGGAGAATGATCAAAAGTGACTGCTAAAGGTAGCATAGTGGCATTAGTAGCCTAATGCCGGGGGGGAGTGTTCTGCCCTTTGGTTAAAAGGCTTTAGATTAAGAATTTTGTACAATGTCTTGTGCTGGTGCCTGCTATTTCCTGCAATGTGATTATTTCGCCAATTGAGAGTTAATGGCTATTTTTCTATTTCTTCTGTTTATGTATTTCAGTTTCACTCGTAATTTTCACCTGTTTTGAGAAAACGATCAATAAAGGAGCAAGGCGCTCAGTTCCTGGCTCATGAAAATCGAGTTTGGCTTGCTGTTTACCTACGTTCACACACTGGGCTTGCACTGGGCTTGCACTGGGCGTGTAAAACATGCCCAGTGTAAAATGGGCATTCAACATTAGGGGACAGAGAAACAGTATTTTGATTTTTCTGTATGCCTTGCACATACAGTGAATTGACAATAAAAATCTTTGATCTTGATTTTATACTGTTTCTTTTGTACTTTTAGTAGTAAAATTTAAATGCATGACTTAGTTCTAACAAAGTATTTCTAGACTGTGGTATTGCCACCTTTACTTTAGTGAAATATCTGAGTACTTCCACCACTGATTAAAGAGTAGAATTGCCTTTTTTGAAAATGGTTAGATTTGAATCTGCCCCTTTTAATGTATTTGTTACTCTTCTCCTTTACTATACTTCTTTCTTTTTCAAACTGTACTATTCATTTACACAGTTTAAAACCTCTGCCATCATAATGGTAAATGAAAACATATTTTGACTAAGTTTTTCTCTATATAAAAAATCACTTTGTAACTATATATTTTGAAATCTTGGCAGAAATTTAAAGCACCCTAATGCAGCTACCTTTATTAATCTCTTTCTCTAGGTCTATGAGACGGTGAATCATGAGATTAACAGGTGGGTTGAAATTTATATCACCTTTCAATGGGATCTTGTTACTTACTTTTTGCCTTGACTGTGGTACTTGGATTCTTTTGACAGGCCCCCTGAGAGGTGTGGCTGTGCTGCTGTTGGTGGGGCTCACCTTGCTGCTGGCAAACACTTTATTTGGAGGGGAGAGTGGTTCATCTCTGCTACATTTCATTAGTGGTAAGAGAGGTAGTGCTAAAGTGAGTTGTCAACCGACAGAAAATTAATATTTTGAATGTTTTATTCAAACAAATATTGGTCATATTCTCTCATTCCAGCTACTCAAATGTGAGGATTGGAGCAGTCACTCCATTTTATATAATTGAAAATAGAATGTGTTTGGGGTTTGTACTGATGCTCAGCGAAAAGCAAACTATTGGAGGATTTCTTCATGGGAAACACTATTTTACTATTTTCTGACATTTTAAATACTATCTAATTGATAGAGAAAATAATTGTCAATTGCAACCCTAATGGCAAGTGTTGGATTAGTCTTGATGTATCTGATGAAAGGTCTGTGTAGAAATGATCACACAAAGCCAGTCTGCTAATCAGATTTCTTAATTTGACTGTGAAATGTGTTTATTTTTTCAGGTGCGAGTGAGGAACCAACACTTGGTAAGTAGAAGTAACAATGTGACATGACTCTCCCTGTCAGGTATAATGTTGCTGATGTTGCATCCTTATTTTTTCCCTTATTACCATCAATTCGTGTATCATATATTTTAACAGAACCCCACCATCGAAAGTATAAATGTGGACTTTCAGCCCCCTGCCCCCCAAAGCATTTGGCTTTCCGCCTGGTGTCCGGTGCTGCAAACGTCATTGGCCCCAAAATCTGTGTGGAGGACAGGATGTGAGATTCAGTTTTACCAGTTTCTCCCTGTTCATGTGTCTCTGTCTCCCCTGCTGTCTATTTGTTTTTTGTTTTGTTTTCACACTGTTCTTATTTCCCTCTGTGCATAACCAGGCCTCCAAGTCTTTCTGGGGAGCTGAATGCAAGTATTCTTTCAGTCCGTGTGTCCCTCATCTCTTTGGTTTTTCTGTGGTCTTTTTATATGTGTTGTTGCTTCCTAAGTGTCAGGCAGTCCATATGAGTGTGTAGACCACTGTGTATGTGGGAGGCAACAAAGTGCTTCAAATAGTGTTTCAGCTGCTTGTGTTTGTCACACAGGCTACTCAGCAGTGTGAAGAACAATGCTGGCAGAGGACTAAACATAGCTTTGGTGAATGGTGAGTGGCATCCTTGACCTTTTTAACAGACTGTTTTAAGCTCGTGTCAATTGTGTCATTTTAAAATCTGACTGATGTTGTTTTGCTTCAGGAGTGACAGGAGAGCTCTTGGACACAAAGGCCTTTGACATGTGGGCAGGAGGTAATAAAAATCAGACACTAATGTATAGTTTACAGTGTATTGCACATCTGGTACACATCTTAGTAATTACAACCCAGAAACCACAGTTCATAGCTCATCTAATGTTTATTCACAGATGTTTCTGACCTGTTGAAGTTTATCCGGCCACTCCACGAGGGGACACTCGTGTTCGTGGCTTCCTTTGACGATCCAGCTACAAAGTAAGAATCCTTGACATGCTGTCAGTTCCAGTTCAGCACCTCTCTCTTTTCCTTTTAGCCACACAAATCAAATCAAAGAAACTTTAATTATCCCCGAAGGGCAATTCAATCAAGTGTAGTCGTTACATTGATACTTTTTGGCAGAGGTGGTGGACTCGAGTCACATGATTCAACTCGAGTCACAAATTTGAGGACTTGAGCCTTGCTTTATTAACACCGGTAAATAACTGGACTTGACTTTGACTTGGCATCCATAACTTGAGACTTGATTTAAACCTAAGACGGATGACTCAAAATGAACTTTTTTTTTAAACACAGATATTTTTCTAGATATTGAGAAGTTGCATTTTGTTTTTGAAACACAGTTGGGTGATTTCAAGTTCAATGTATGCAAAACTGGTAACCTATCAGAGTGCGACAGACCAGTAGAGGACAACACAGGTCAACGATGCAGCTGTTATATAGGGGCCTTCTCTGAAAATAATGAAATTTAGATTTAAGGATTATGTTGTCGATGACTGTAGTAAGAAGAGAACAGTGGAATGCAAAGACGGCAGTGAAAAAAATTTGTGACTGACCACAACATCAAAATATCAGTCACTCCAGAACTCACAAAGAAATGCAAGTACCTGAATCTGTCTTTTCACTTGTGGTTTTCAGCTAACATTAGCTAAGTTGCTGGGTGAAAGGCATGGCTTTTTTATTTAATAGCTAAGGGTTAGTTTATAGCTTACAAATGCACAATTAAGGAGGAGGTTTGTGAAATTTTCACTTAAACATTTGATATTCCCATAGCATTATCAGATCATCAGAATTTGGTATGACTTGACTTGGGACTTACGTGACTTATAGTAGAGACTTGACTTGCTTGATTCTTACTATACTAACTTGGGACTTGCTTGAGACTTACTACCACCTCTGCTTTGTGGTATAACTTAGAAAAATCTATCATAGAATAAAATAATTCTGTGGTTTTGCTATAGGGTTAAAGAAATGGTAATAATCTGCATGTAATTTCAACAAAAACTTTAACAGACATGAAGTTCTAATACTGACTTGTAAGCAGCATTAACCTGTTACCTTATTCTCATTTCGGCGGCAGGCTGAATGATGAGGCTCGACGATTGTTCGAGGAGCTTGGGAGCACAGCAGTAAAGGAGCTGGCCTTTAGAGACAGCTGGGTGTTTGTTGGAGCCAAGGGCATTGAGAATAAGAGTCCCTTTGAGCAGGTATTTTATAGCAACTACCAATAGTGAACAAATCCTGAGGGAAATATTGATCAGCTCCTTTGATGTCATGCTGTTTTGCTTACAATTAAGGAACATATCAGAATGAATGTAAAACCAACAGTGAGTTATATACGCTGACAAATAACAGAGAGATGACTTGATCTCAAAATGAAACCTGATATGGCAACAGGAATGACCTGTCAATCAACAATCAGTGTTTGGACAAACCTTTTTGTAACTGGCAGCATCACCAAGCTAATCAAACAGCTGATTGGATATTTCACCGAACCATCAACTCAGGATGGTAGTTACAGCGAGTAGGCTGAATTAGACTATAACTGTGCTGGGAAGTAATTCTTGTGAATGGTAGCAACAGGAACAGCAGAATGTGGCCTTTGTAGTAAAGAAATTGTTAAGGTAGCTAACATCTACTGAATTAGCAAAGGCATGTTAGCCAAGGAAGCTAGTTAGTTGACATTACATACATAACATATTATGTATGCAATGAGAAAAGAAATCTAAACTCTCTGAAAACCCAGGAAAATCCCTAGTCTGTGCTGCGGATATTATCACAGTACACGATATTCGGCATATTGCCACGTTAAATCTTTGTCCTGCCACTGAAACTTCTAATATCTGAGCCTGAGTTATCCTGTTGTAGATGGCAGTGATGCCAACTGCAACGCATTGTTACCTTAGCCGGCAATATTTTACATCTCTATTAAAATAAAAAAAAACTAAAAAGAGGCCTGTATGGCTTTAAAATTGTCTGGTTGCATTCCTGTACTGACAAGTGTCCAAATCTGACCAAAGATTTGGAGATTCATGATTTTTAAAACCTACCAGGAGCTTTTTCATACCTACTACTAACCTCATACACCTTTTATATATTTACAATTACACTGTAATGCAGTTAAAATCAGGCTGTTGGCTGTTACATTCACACAAACACTCACACTGATGGCAGTAAGCTACCATGCAAGGTTTGACCTGACTGTCAGCAGTTTGGGGTTCAGTGTCTTGCCCAAGGAAACTTTGACATGTGGACAGGAGGAGCAGGTGGTCAGACTAACTCTATGATTAGTGGACGACCAGCTCTACCTGTCCACTCAGGTGCTACTTGGAAAGTCAGACATTATCAGTCTATTAATTAGTATTCCTTGAAAAAAAAAAGTATTTGTCATTTAAATTTATATCATATAACATTTTGTTTAAAGTTTTTGTTCAGCACTTTGTACCTGAGCAGCTGTCATGCAGCAGCGAGAACCTGACTCCAGCCTGTTTCTGTTTGCATGTGGTTGTTCCCATTAGCGTATGAAGAACAGTAAGAGCAGCAACAAGTATGAAGGTTGGCCCGAGTCTCTGGAGATGGATGGATGTATACCCTTGCGGCCTCCCCTGGAGTGACAGTCCTGCCCGGATCTCCTTCACATAACTACAGTAGCACCTGGAGTAGAGCAGCAATGGAAAGCCAAGGAACTGCTGAATGACTGAAACCATCCATGGCCACTTTTGTTTTCTCTCTTGTGGCAAAGGCACCTGTTAACTGCAAAGATTGTCTTGATATATTCAGAACTGCTGGAACCTGTTGTAGAGGATTTGTGCATTATGAGACACTTTTAAGCTGAGGTAACATTAAACAAGGAAAATGTTTGCGTCAGCCTAAGGAAACCTAAGATACCAAATATTTGATGACCAAAATAATTTGTGAATGAATACAGCTGGAGCAGGTCTTCCACAGTCATTGTAGGAAATGGATACATTTTCTCTGTTCAAGCTTGCCTTTAGTGTGTCAACATTCTGTGTTTGAGTGTCAGAAGAGATGCCTAACTGGTTTAACACTAGGTGAAACATAATCTGTGACATCAAAAGGAAAATAACTGGAGTACTGTAGTAGATAAAAACAAACATTCTAAGCACCTGGTTGATGGAAGATTTTATATATTAAATACACTAATATACAGTGGGTACGGAAAGTATTCAGACCCCCTTAAATTTTCCACTTTGTTATATTGCAGCCATATGCTAAAATCATTTAAGTTCATTTTTTTCCTCA